ACGAAGATATAATCGAAACCGGTCAAGTACATCTCTTATATTGTGAAATTAATTCTCATTTATATCTTTTTTATCATTTTTATCTATTTTTACTTATCCATTAGTATTCGTTTGTCAGTTATATCAATAATTCTGTTACGCTTTTACATGCTGGGGATTACTGAGCAGTTCTATTATTCCCGTTATGCTAAGCAATGCAACTTATTTAGCATAAAGGGAGGAAGTGAAAGGGATTTCTGTCGCAAGATTATACTGTTATCATGTTTATTTTCAACCTTATTAATTAGTGATGATTATTTTCATTAATATTCATATCTTATTTACTTTTTATAATTATCGTTATTATCATGATTATTATTATATTGTTATTATCATTGTTACTATTATCATTATTATTGATATCATTATTATTGTTATCAATATTATTCTCATTATAATCATTATTATTATCAGTATTACTACTACTAGTAGTCATGTTTATTACTTTTGTTATCATCAGCATAATTATTATCATTATTATCATCACTATTATTATTATCAATATCATTACTATTGTCATTACTACTATCATTTATATTTATTTACTACTATTATTACTATCATTATTTTCATTATCATCAGTATTAATATCGTTATCATTATCATCATTATTATTATTATTATCATTATCATTATCATTATTACCATTATCATCATTATCATCATCACCATGAATAATGCAATTATTGTTATTGTTATCATTGTTATTAACATCATTATCATTATTATCACCATTCTTATTAACAACAAGAATCATTATCATCATCACCTTTACATTTTTTTTATCATCATTATCATTGCTATTATTATTATTGCTGCTGCTGCGTTGCAAAGACCAATCCACAGAACACAACAGAATTATTTACTCTTCAAAACATTAACAAAACATTAAATTAACATTGACGTATCACCGAGTAAATATAAAAGATAAAAAGGTAATTACAATACTCAGTATGCGCATATTTGTTGTAGAGACAGGTTGGCGCTGGCGGTGAGGTACTGGTCGTGAAAATGGTGGTTGTGGTCGTACTGGAGGTGGTTGGCGCAGGTGTGGTGGTGGTCGTACTGGTGGTCGTCGTACTGGATGTGGTTGGCGCAGGTGTGGTGGTGGTCGTACTGGATGTGGTTGGCGCAGGTGTGGTGGTGGTCGTACTGGTGGTGGTCGTACTGGAGGTGGTTGGCGCAGGTGTGGTGGTCGTCGTACTGGTGATGGTTGGCGCAGGTGTGGTGGTAGTAGTACTGGTGGTGGTTGGCGCAGATGTGGTGGTCGTCGTACTGGATGTGGTTGGCGCAGGTGTGGTGGTGGTCGTACTGGTGGTCGTCGTACTGGAGGTGGTTGGCGCAGGTGTGGTGGTGGTCGTACTGGTTGTGGTTGGCGCAGGTGTGGGGGTCGTCGTACTGGAGGTGGTTGGCCGCAGGTGGTGGTCGTCGTACTGGAGGTGGTTTGGCGCAGGTGGTGGTGTACTGGTGGTGGTTGGCGCAGGTGTGGTGGTGGTCGTACTCGTGGTGGTAGGCGTTGTGGTGGTAGTCGTACTGGTTGTAGGCGTAGCTGTGGTGGAGGCGTGTGGTGGTGGCAGCATTGGTGGTGGAAGGCGGTGTGGTGGTGGCAGGTGGTGGAAGGCGCAGCAGCATTGGTGGTGGAAGGCGGTGTGGTGGTGGCAGCATTGGTGATGGAAGGCGGTGTGGTGGTGGCAGCATTGGTGGTGGAAGGCGGTGTGGTGGTGGCAGCATTGGTGGTGGAAGGCGGTGTGGTGGTGGCAGCATTGGTGGTGGAAGGCGGTGTGGTGGTGGCAGCATTGGTTGGGGAAGGCGGTGTGGTGGTAGCAGCATTAGTGATGGAAGGCGGTGTGGTGGTGGCAGCATTGGTGATGGAAGGCGTGTGGTGTGGGTGGTGGCCAGCATGGTTGATGGAAGGCGGTTGTGGTGGTGGCAGCATTGGTGGTGGCAAGGCGGTTTGTGGGGCAGCATTGGTGGTGGAAGGCGGTGTGTTGGTAGTGGCAGCATTGGTGGTGGAAGGCCGGTGTGGTGGTAGCAGCATTAAGTGATGGAAGGCGGTGTGGTGGTGGCAGCATTGGTGATGGAAAGCGCGGTGTGGGTGGTGCAGCATTGGTGATGAAGGCGGTTTTGTACTTTGTGGTGGGTGACCTAGGTAGCAGCATTTAGTTGATGAAGGCGGTGTGTCGTGCAGCATTGGTGATGAAGGCGGCAGTTATTCTTCCTTGTCCTTGCATTTCCCCGACACAATTGTGGTGGTGGCAAGCCCATTTTGCAGAAGTGGAAGGTACCGAGTCAAGTAACGGTCAGGTTATTCTATTAATAATAGGATAGGACATGGTGTGGGGTGCAGCATTGGTGATGCGTCACCCGGCCTTTCACACGTGTGATGTGGTCTGGTGATGCGGCCAGCATTGGGGTGATACCAAGGCCCGGATGTTCTACAGCACCTCATATCTCAGCACTTATCTGGCTGTAAATCCCTTGGCCTGCTAGCATTGGTGATGGAGGCGGCCTGTCCCACCCTTCCGGGTAAGGCTTCCACATGATGGAAGGGCGGCGCACCAGTACTCCTTTACACTGTTATCTAAATCGTTCAACAACCCTTCGTCTCTTCTTCTCCCTCTCTCTCGCGCCCCACCCTGCCCCTCTGCCCTCCTTCCCTCTTCTTCTCCCTCGCTCTTCTCCTCCTCTCTCCTTCCTCTTCTCTCTCTCTTCTTCTTCCCTCTCCTCTCTCTCTCCTCCTCTCTTCTCTTCCCCTCTTTCTTCTTCTCTCTTCTTCCTTTCCATTGTGTTGGTGGCCTCTAGCTTTGCGTGATCTCCCGGTCAACAAACCTCGGCTCCTCGTCTCTGTCCTACTTCATCTCCTCTCTTCCTTACACTTCCTCCCCTCCTCTCTCCTCCCTCCCTCTCTCTCTCTCTCTCTTCCCTCTCTCTTCTCTTCTTCTCGCTTTGCCTCTCTTCTCTCTCTCTCTCGCTGCTTGGCTTTCTCTCTCTCTCGGTGGTCCTACCGCCTCTATTTGGCTCTTGCTCTGCCCAAGGCCCTCGGTCTCTCTCACTCCCTGTGTTCTCTCTTCTCCTCCCTCCCTCTCCCTCTTCCTCAACTACCTTCGTAGCTGGTAGTCCTACTCTTCTCTCTAGCTGTATTCGTGTTGAACAGTGGCCACCGTTTCTCTGAAAGGCGCCACCTGGCTCAGGTGCGCCTCCCCGCGCCTTCCTCTCTGCGGTGCGCAAAAGACTTTCTGTTCCGCAATAAGACGGCGTATGGGAGGCCAGCTTGGTGTTTGGAAGGGGCGGTGTGAGGCTGTTACCCCTTCAGGTCTGTACTTCACCAAGAAATGCCTTTTTTTAAGCTGTAGCACTTATAAACCACCGCTGCGTTGTATTGTGCGTGCGCTGCCCTATTAGTGTATGGGCCGGAAGCCCTGGCTGGTGGATTATAGATGAAACGGTCATATATATCACAGTCTAGCTGTTATTAACGAGTGTTTGAGTGTGTCGAAAGAGGTGCACAGCGTGCAGTCGCAAGTGGTATAGTAAGGGAATGTAGACAGAGCCGACACTGCCCCGATATATTCCGGATTGTTCGACGCAGTGCCCAAAAACAACACGGTATTTTTGCAACAAGGCGAAACAAACTGGTCCTCCATCAAGTCTGCAAGAGAGAGAAGCGAGTTCAAGCACATCTGATGTCACCTAATCGACAGAAATGGCATGTAGAGTTATGGTTATTTGACTGCCACATGCGCCGTCTCATAATCAAGGAAGGAACGGAGGTCCATGCAAACACGTTAACGGCAGACTTAACGAGGGAGTCTCACTTGCTCTCGCGGCCGTACGACTGCGATTCAAGACGGCAGACTAGGATCATCTTGGCATTATAATCGTGGCGAAATGCGTATTTTTATGGGGGGCCGTTGAAGTCAATGGTGTTCACGCACAACACCTCTCCACGGAGGAGTGAGAGAGGCATATGCGGTTCACTCTGCAAGCAGGTTGTATAAAGCTGAAGCACAGGGGGTAGGGGGAAGCAATAGTCAAAGACAAAGAGGAAGAGATTGAATGAGCGAAGGTCGGGGCGTATAAGGTATGAAGAGTATAAGAGAACAAGAAAGCAATTTAAAGAGTGATAAGAGAGTAAGGACAGGCGATATGGTAGGGTGGGAAGGCCCGGGGTAATTATGCTTTTATGGGAGAGATACAGTAGAAGAGAATATAGAGTGTATAAGGGATAGGAGTAAGAGAGGACAAAGCAATTGAGAAGTGAGATGGCGAATATGCCGATGTGTGCAGTGGTAGCCTGTGAAGACAAGGAGAGAAGCACCTCAGCAAATGAGTATAGGAGTTATATAAGGCCTGATTTAGTGAGATGAGAGTATGTAGGTTTTATCGGACATGGCACCTTAATCCAGTGATCTGGTGGGAAGGCCCTAGTTGCGTGGGTATAGACCCAGTTTTATGGACTAATAGATATGCTGTATATATGACGATAGTAGATCGAGATGGAATTCATGTGTTGGTGAGTTGTAGCAGCGCGTTCGGACTACCCGGTTAATGGGTTCGTCGTGCTTTGTGGTAGAGGCGTAGGCGACGGTGGTAGGTATTTAGTGTATACAATAATAGTCCTAATGGTGTATAATAGTGGACAGGCGCAGGTGAAAGAGTGGCTGTGGTATCGTACTTATAGAGAGTTAAGATGGTGACGGTGAGAGGTGTGTGGTGAGTGAATACTTTATATGCAGTTGTGTTCTACAGTCGCACTCTGTGTATTGTGTGTATCTGATAAGCCGAAGGGATTGTCGATCCGGATTCATTTGTGACGTATTGCGGAGGCTCATTGGCGAGTTTAGTGTCTGCATTAGTAGTCTCTTTTGTATGATGTGTGGTATTACTATATGGTGGTCTATCCGGAAGGTGACTAACAATGCGTGCACAGAGTGGAGATACGTAATTAGACACAAGCTCGCGGTGATCCGAGAAGAATGTATTATATTATCCTCTCCCTCTAATTATCTATCTAGTCATTTCAGTTCCGCGTATTTTGTACACCTACCGGTGTGAGAGCTGCTCGTACGATAACTAGTCGGTGATAGGTCGAGACATGTGTGATTGAATTTAATTTTTACCAAAGGGGTGTGGGCGTGAGTTTGTAGTTCTAAGGTGTGAGGTGTGTGAGCAGGTAAAGAATAGGATGTGAAATGTGGAATTTTAGGGTGAACCCAGAAAAATGTCCCTGTTATCTGAGTTTGAACTGTGTAGTGTTGTGTGTGTGTCTGTGAGATTGTGCATTATGAGAGTCTTTTGATGTGAATGTGTTAATGGTGCTCCACTGAAGTCGGAAGAAGAAGTTGGCACCACCGGTGGTCTGTATAGAGCAATCCAGAAACAAATACTAACGCAGTTGGTGCGACGGAAACCAATGGCGATAGTTGTGTGTGAGAAGAGAAATTATTCCCATGGGTGGTGTGTGTGGTGTGTGATGTGTGTGTGTGTGATGTGGAGAGAAAGACACGAGGAAAGATTTGTGTGTGTGTGGAGAGTGAGTTGTGGTGGAGAATGAGATGTGTGTGGTGTGAGTGAGAAGAGAGAGGAGGAGAAAGAGAAGGATGTGTGTGTGTGTATATATGTATGTATGTATGTATGTGATGTATAGATAATGTGTGTGTGTGTGTGTGTGAGTGTGTGTGTGTGGTGTTGTTGTGTGGAGATGAGACCAGGACAGGACAGCAGGGACAGACATGATCGAGAGAACGTGATGTGTTGTGTGGTGGTGATGTGCGTTTTTGGAGGGGGTAGTGTGTGGTGATGTGAGTGTGTGGAGAGATGTGTGATGTAGAAGTGGATGTGTGAGGAGATAGAGGAGAGGCGATGGAGAGAGGATGTGTGTGTGTGTGTGTGTGATGTTGTGTGTGTGGAGAGAGAGATTGAGCGAGGTGTGTGTAGGTATGATGGTTGTGGTGTGTGTGATGTGTAGTGTCGTGATGTGGTGCATGTTCGTTAATGTGTATAGTATGCGTGCAGGTATGTGCGTTTGTTTATATGTGTGAGTGGCTTTGGCAGTAATACGTACAGAAGGGTCCTGCGCTAATGTAGGACGCGGAGGCTCGGGTTAAGAGGCACTTGTGCCCCCCCTGTCAGACGCCGCTGAGGGTGGTGACAGAGGCGCGGCGAAGGGCGGATCTGTCTATCTCGTATCCATTAACCCTGCGTGTGTAAAATGTGTGTGTATGTGTGTGTGTGTGTGTGTGTGTGTGTGTGTGTGTGTGGTTGTGTGTGTGTGTGTGTGTGTGTGTGTGTGTGTATGTATGTGTGTGTGTGTATGTATGGTGGTGTGTGTGTAATGTATGCGTGTGTGTGTGTGTGTGTGTGTGTGTGTGTGTGTGTGTGTGTGTGTGTGTGTGTGTGTGTGTGTGTGTGTGTGTGTGTGTGTGTGTGTGTGTGTGTGTGTGTGTGTGTGTGTGTGTGTGTGTGTGAGTGCATGTTCGTTAATGTGTATCTATGCGTGCATGTATGTGCGAGTTTGTTTATATGTGTGTGCGTGGTTGCATAAATACGTACAAAGGTCCTGCGCTATGTAGACGCGGAGGCTCGGGTCGAAGGGCACTTGTGTGAGTCCGTAGACGCCGCTGAGGGTGGTACAGAGGCGCGGCGAGGGCGTGAGGGTGTAGGCC